ATTAATATAGGTTGTCCAATATGTAAACGTAAATTTTGTGAAAAAGCTTATGATCGTCATGTAGCATTTTGTACAAGTAAAATAAAACAAATTCAACAACCACCATCTGAAGAAATACTTCTTGCTCGACTTCGACTTACTCGACGAATTAAATTCAATTCAAATCAAATTTCTTCAACATCTCTAAGTAACAAACAATCAATAAAACAAAAAATTATTACTTGCACCTAAAATATTTTCTTTTGTTATCATTTGACAAAAAAGAAAAATAAACTTTTCATTTCATCAATTTATTATTCTTTGTGTTCAAAATCGTATATTCTTAATTGTATGTATTATTATCGAAAACTAAAAGAATAATTTTCAATGTGTTTTTAGTTCAAAAAAAAAAAGAAAAAGACAAAGAATTTATTTGTCATTTTAATAAATAAAAAGTAGAATGTTTGAAAAATAATAATTATGAATCATAGAAGAATTTCACCAAATAATAACGAATGAAAAATGTTAATAAAGTACCAAATACAATCTAAATTACGTATATTTTTTTTTTAATTAGATTAATAAATTATTATAACATTATACACTAACCTGTATAAGAATTAATATTCGAGAAAGTTTTTCTTCATGTAATGGACCACACCAACAAAGAACTGTATTTATAATAGTAAAATTTGTTGTTGAAATCATTAATTCACCATCATTATTGAGATATTCTCAATATTTAATAAATTTTGTTATTGAAAAAAAAACGTAACATTAACCAACCAAGTGTTTTTAAATCACTTTTTTTAAATTCAACTTCAGATGCATTAAGTTTATTCAATTCTGGATTTAATCTAAAGTCAAGAAAACAAAAAAAAAAATAACGAAACATAAAATTTAAAATTAATACATCTACCTTGGTAAACGATGTCGTGGACAAGGAATAAAATGAAATAATTGTGGTATAGATAGAAGAAAATTAATAATTTGTGGTATAAAAAAAAGTAACATTGTCTTGCTAAAATGACCAATTATACCAACAACAGCAAATGTCATACCAGAAAAATAACAAAGTGTATCACCAACAAAGATTTCTGCTGGATACCTATTTATTTTTTATAATAAGAAATATAATGAATAAAGTTGTTAGCGAAATTTCGAAATGTGAAATACGATGTAGTTGCTTTTGATAATCACAGAAAGATTATTTTATTCTATTTATTTTGAAACACATTTCTTCATTAAATTTCTCCAGAAATGCAATAAGGAAGTAAGATAGTGGGAAAATGTTACGTAAGTTTGATTTTATTCTATAATATTAAGTAACGGGTGATCCAAAAGTTCCTGCAAAAATGTCACTTCATTTATCATCGGTCACACTATAACATGTTTTGTAAAAATAAAAAATACTTGTTCAGAATCTACGTTAAAATCGCTATCTAATTGTATGTTCAAAAGATTTCTAGAATATGTTGCCTGTGAGTAACGGCTACATCCTCAGATGGCACTAAAATATACTACTACTGTAAAAAGCAATCCACAATGAGTGTGGCAGAAAGAACCGATCTTTAAACAATGCCATAGTATTTTCTATCAGGTTTCCAGAGAATTAAACAACGAGTGTAATGAAAAAAGAACAACAGTGTATAATGAAATGCATAAAAGATATTCGAAAAATACTGAAATATTAGTTCCGTCTGCCGCAACCATTATGAGTTACTTTTTACAGAGTAAATTTTGGTCTTGTTTAGGAACATGGCCATTACTCAAAGATAAGACATAATAGAAATTTTTTGAATATGCAGTTAGAAGGCGCTTTCAACGAAGATTCTGAATAGGCGTTTTTTACTTTTACAAGACATGTTATAGCCGATGAAAAATGAAGCGACATTTTTGCAGAAACTTTTGAATCACCCGTTATTTAGATAGTAATTTTAATAGCCAATGAAGTTTTCTATTAAATACGTTCTATACCAAGATTGCACAAATACACCATGATGGCAAAGTTTAGAAAAAAAATCGGACATACTAATTTTCAGATTTCAGCAGCTAATTTTTAACAACACCATTTTAAAGAGTACAAAGTTCTGAATAAAATGAGGGATCGCCGCATTTTCTATGACCTTCCCTTAGAAACTTAAGAGTATTACAAAAACCATTCAAAAAACAAAATTTATCAAAACATCAACTAAAAACCGCCTTTTTTCAGTTTTTGTGATGCTTTTAATTCTTAAGAGAAGGCCATAGAAAATATGGCGACCCTTCATTTTTCCTGGAGCTCATAGAACTCTCGAAACGTTAGAGTTAATTTGTCATCTAAATGTTAACAAAATTTTGAGTTCTTAGAATTGCTTCAGTTGTTCGAGTTCCATGAGTTCAGAATTCAAGGAATTCGGACACATCTCATTTCAACATTCCTTTTAGATCATATTTCACAAAATTTTTTCATTTGTGATAAGAAATATAAAAAAACACCAAACAAACCAGTTTTTAATTAAAATTGGAAGTGTACAAGCAATAAATGGAATCATAAAATAAAGTGAAAAAAGATGTTCTTCCCAACAAATTCCTAAAAAAAATGATTCATTATGTGAATTTATTTTTCATAAAAAAAATAAAAAACTTAACCTTGCAATTCAACTAGATTAAAAATAAGTATTGAAATTGCAATAACAATAGATTGACCAACTTCAAGTCCATTGACACCAGCTAGAATATTTATTGCATTCGTACAAAATACAGCTACCATACTCATATAAATATAATATAGAATACCTATATCAAAATGAAACATTTGTTAATTTTACTTAAATCATTATTCATTCATACCAAGATTCCATTGTTGACCTAAATATGGCCGTACCGGTTTAGGTAAAATAATAGTTGTCGAATGATAATTAGCAAAATAAACAAGTAAAAGTGGTAATGATGCAATCAATGGTAATAATAATTTGATACTCC